TTTAGTTGGTAGATATTTTTCCCCCACTTCCCACGCCAACCATTCTCTAAGGAGGGCCAGTCCCAGTCACCCCTCTCCCCAACCCCTCCCCTCCAGGTGGAAGGAATGGCATGGGCCAGGTCTGGGGTGTGGCAGGGCCAGGCCAGCTCCGGGAGGGCAGGGGTCAGACTGGACAGTGCCTGGGGCAGCAGTGGGAGGGCAGGGATGGCAGCTGCATGGGAGCCGCCTGTGCACCTGGAGTGAATTGCTGTACGGCCTGAAGGATTTTAAGCAAAGGAAGAACTCAAGCTGTTTTGAGAGTGAAAAGCCGACCCAGTGCCTGCTCCAGGCCACATTCCAGCGTATGTCCCATACTTACTACATGGCACTCCTTCTTCTACCTGAGTTCTGGACTCAGAGACTGGGCTCCAAGCCTGGCTGTGCAGCCCCAGGCAGGTCCCCTAGCCTCTCTGAGCTCCAGTCTGCACACCTGCAAAATGAGGATGGCACCACTCACCTAGCAAGGTGAGGATTAAGTGATACACCGGTGAGGTCGGAGGTCCCAACGGCCCAGAGTCGACCCTCAGAATGGGAGCACCTGGTATTGTTAGTGGAAACACAGACACCTCCACTTAGTAAGGGGGACAATTTTGAAATTATTTCTGAATTATCAACCACATCTAATTATTTATACTCCTGGCACAAAATACAGTGCAGGAGCCTGTATTCTAATCCCCGATGCCTTTACTTCCCCTTTCACCTGTGCATGGGCACACAGGGGGCTACTGGGGGCTCTAGTCCCCCTGCTCCATCAGCCCTACACACCCCGGGTAAGTGTGCAAGGCAGCAAGCAGGGCGTCAGCTGGGTGGGCCTCTCACTTCCCCTTCAATTGGGACCTAATCTTCACTGGGGTGCAGAAGTCCTGTGTAAAGATAGAGTTTTTTAAATCGTGGTTAAAATACGTAAAATAAAATTTACCACTTTAACCATTTTTAAATGAACAATTCAGTGGCATTTAGTCCATTCACAATGTGGTGCAATCACTACCCCCAGTTCCAGAACTTTCCATCACCCCAGATGGAAATTCCATACCCCTTAGGCAGCCACTCCCCATTCCCCGTTTCTCTACCCAGCCCTGGCAATCACCTTTCTACTTTCTGTCTCAATGGATTTGCCTATTCTGGACATTTCATATCCCTGGAACCACACAATATGTGGTTTTGGAGTCTAGCTTCCTTTATGTAGCATTGTATTGTTGAGGTTCCTCCACACTGTGGCATAACCCAGTGCTTCACTTGTTTTTATGGCCACATAATGTTCCACTGTATAGATAGATCCCATTTGATTTATCCACTCAGCTGTTGACAGGCATTTGAATTTGTTTCCACTGTTTGGCTATTGTGAGTAGTGCTACTGTGATAATTTGTGTACAAGCTTTAGTCTAAACACCTGTCTTCAGTTCATTTGAATATATACCAAGGGGTGGAATCACTGGGTAACTCCAGGTTGAACTTATTGAGGAACTGCCAAACCATTCTCTACAGCGGCGATACCATTGCATGCTCCTATCGCCAATGTATGAGGGTTTCAATTTCTCCACATCCTTGGCAACGCTTGTTTCTTTCCTTCTTTCTTTCTTTCTTTCTTTCTTTCTTTCTTTCTTTCTTTCTTTCTTTCTTTCTTTCTTTCTTTCTTTCTTATCATAGTCATCCTAGTGGGTGTGAGGTGGCATCTCATTTTGGTTTTGGTTTGCACTTCCCCAGTGATTACCGAGGCTGAGCATCTTCTCCAGCTTGTTGGCCATGTGTATATCTTCTTTGGAGAAATGTCTACAAGTGCTTTGCTCACTGTCACACTGGGTTATTTGTCTTTTTGTTGTTGAGTTGTAGGAGTTCTTTCAGATGTGGTTCTTAAGTATTGACTTGTTCATGTATTCATTTATCTATATCACAAACACTCGAGATGGCTACACCTGGCAGCCCCGAGACCTGACTGAGCAGACTTGACACTGTCCTGGAGGGGCCCACCGTCTGGTGGGGAAGCCGGGCATGGACACAGTGACTGTCAGACTGGAGAATGGGCTCTACACCTACAAAACCAGCGCCCACTGTGCTCCCCCTCAGTGCCAGGGAATAAGGAGCTTGAGCACAGTGGGGCTTTCACTTGGGCCCTGAAAGGGAAATGGAATATGTCAGACAGGAAAAACAGAGAAGGAGCAGCACCCAGGGGAGGGACCAGAAGACACAGCTGGGAGGCGGGGTCACCCGAGGCCAGACCCCAAGAGGCCTCTAGTTCTAGGCACAGAGGCTTGGATAGTCCCCTGGGCAACGGAGACCTAGGGACAGGCTTTGAGCAGAGGATTGACATGGTCAGATCTGGGTGCTGGCAGGGCCGGTGGTGGACAGCTGCCTGGAGGTGGGAGGCCAGGGCTTTGGCCATCGCAATGATCCATTGCTGCCCCAGGGTGCACACTAAGTCCTATCAGGGTCCCCCCAGCAAGGGCATCTACTGCAGATAATGGGGGTTTCTCAGCCCTGAGGCTGCGGGGAGAATTTGGGACTGGAGAGTGTCCCTCAGGCCAGGACTGAGGCGGGCTCTGTCCCCCGGCAAGCAGGGTGCCCGGCAGGGTTCCCATCCATCTCATTTCCCCAGCTCGGTTTTCCGAGGATCTACAATTACTTTGGGCTGAATTCCCCGGATTCCAGCCCGCTCCCAGCCCCACCCATCCAGATGCTCTTCCTCCATGCCAGCCTGGGGCTTTTCTGCCCATTGTGCCCGTGGGAGACCCAGGAAGGTCTTGGCCAGATTAGTGGGCGGGCCGGGCGGGCCTCAGGGATTGAGTGTCGCCCTGGCGGCCCGGCTGCAGCACGTGCTGTGGGCTCAGGCCACACGGGGACTTTCCAGCTGGCTGTGGGTGCTCGGCTGCCCTGGAAAATCACTGACTTGTTTCCCTCAAGAAAAGGGCGGGCGGGCAGTAGGTAGAAGGGTCCCCAGCACACTAGGAGCCCAGGGCCATAGGCATCAGCTTCGGGGGCCCCTGGCAGTCCCCCCAACTCCCACATCTTTCCCCCTCATTAAACAGGCCCGATCTGTTGTTTTGAAGCCAAGCACTGTGCTGAAACCCGCTGTTGCCTGAAGGTCGGCCTGAATCCAGCCGCCCCACTCCTTCCAGCTTACTGCCCCTTCCATGGGTGCTTCAAGCCAGATGACTGGGGCAGCCGCTGTGGAAGGCGGTCCGGCAAGTCCTCAGAAAGCGAAGGGACCACCTGACCCAGCAACTCCTAGGTCCGTGCCCCAGAGACTGAAAACAGAGGCTCAAACACAAACCTTACCCGCACGTTCATGGCGGCATTACTCACAGTAGTCCAAAGATGGAAACAGCCCAAATGTCCACCAGCCATGAACAGATACACAAAATGTGGTCTATCCACACAATGGAATGTCATCAGCCTTACAAAGGTATGAAGCACTGACCTGTGACCACGCAAATGACCCTTGAAAACATGATGCTAAGTGAAAGAAGTCAGACACCAAAGGTCACGTGATGAATGATTCCATCCGTAGGAAACGTTCAGAATGGGCAGATCCATGGGAACAGAAAGCAGACTGGTGGTTGCTGGGGTCGGGGAGGGGAGGACGGGGAGTGACTGATGGGTGTGGTTTCCTTTTGGGGTGGTGGAAATATCTGGGAACCTGATGGTGCTGGAGGTTGCACAACATTGAATGTATTAGATGCCACAGAACTGTACACTTCAAAGTGGTTCATTTTATATTATGGGAATTTCACCTCATTAAAAAAACACACAAGGCCAGGTGCAGTGGCTCACACCTGTAATCCCAGCACTTTGGGAGCCCGAGGCAGGTGGATCACCTGAGGTCAGGAGTTCGAGACCAGCCTGGCCAACACGGTGACATCCCATCTCTACAAAAAATACAAAAATTAGCCTGGTGTGGTGGTGGGCACCTGTAGTACAGCTACTCGGGAGGCTAAGGCAAAAGGATGGCTTGAATGCGGAATGTGGAGGTTGCAGTGAGCTGAGATCATACCACTGCATTCCAGCCTGGGCAACAGAGTAAGATTCTGAAACTCTGTCTCAAAACAAACAAACAAACAACGACAATCCCTCTTATAACACTTGAAGTAGAGTGAGTGGGACCTGCAGATTCCTGTCTAGGGCTTCAGGTCCTGAGAGTTGCTAGGAGATTAGTGACAAAGGACCCCTGGGGGACCACTGCGAAGCTGCAATATTGCAATAAGGCCCCTGCTGAGCCCAGTACACAGTAAGTGCTCAATTTGCTGCAGGCCTAATTTCTTCCTCTGCATGCACCCAGTCACCCCAACAGGAGAGAAAACAGCCACAGCTGCCATTCCCGGTGCAGCCTTTCTCCCTGTGGTCGTCTGAGCCTGGGGATGGGTGGTTTATACCCCCATTTCATGGGTGTGGAAACTGAGGCTCAGACAGGGAGTGCCTTCTCAAAGGTACACACAGGTCAGAGCTGGAGTCAGTACTGGGTGGGCTTGGCTGCTGTTCTGCTCAGCAGCCCACCTGGCCCAGGTGCCACGGAGGGGCCATCAGGGAATTTATAAATGAGGGGGAAGCCCCGTTGGTCGGGGAGTTGGGGTCTGCCGCTTGGAGACAGCTGCAGACAGTCCCGAGTTGGCGGCTGCCACATCCCAAGCATGATCCTGTCTAATATGAAGGGGCTGTGTATCTGATTCAGCGGCCTGGAGAGCTGTAGGACTTGCGGTTACGTGATTCTTGTATTCTGAGGCTCAGAGGCCTGGGTGTATGTGGCTGGGGTTGCGCGTGTGAGTTGGGGTGACACGTGTGGTCACCTGGGGTCATGCGTGTGAGTTGATGGGAAATGGCCCCTCTGATGGCAGGGATCTGCTTGTGCCCTGGTGGGCGGAGCTAGTGCAGGGCTTGCGACTGAGAGGCCGAGTGGGGGAAAGGTGGTGGGGGTGAGGAGGGGCGCTGGCCGCCGCTGTCTCACAGCCTCTGTCTCCTCCCCTCTGCAGAGCACTGTCATCAGTGGTGGCCCTGGGAGCCAACATCATCTGCAACAAGATTCCTGGCCTAGCCCCGCGGCAGCGTGCCATCTGCCAGAGCCGGCCCGATGCCATCATTGTGATCGGGGAGGGGGCGCAGATGGGCATCAACGAGTGCCAGTACCAGTTCCGCTTTGGACGCTGGAACTGCTCTGCCCTCGGCGAGAAGACTGTCTTTGGGCAAGAGCTCCGAGTAGGTAAGGGCGCCTCTGGGCTCAAGGGGCCCAGCCATCGCGGCCGGGGCAGTGGGCCAGGCCACCCACTGAAGGCCAGCCCAGGCCACTGTTCCGCACACGCCTCCCGGGGGGTCGATTTCTTTGCCTTCCTGTGAGCCCTTCCGAGTGCCTGGCCTGGCCCTAGGGGGCGCTGCCGCGTCTGAGGCCTCGATGGGAGCCAGGCTGTGTGCAGATGAGGGTCCTTGCTCAGGGCTGGAGGACACTGTCGTGACGTGGCCGTGGGCCCATAGGCTGGCGGCGTGGCGGTGCTGGCGGTGCTGTGCAGTGGTTGGGACGCACTGTGATGCTGCCTAGCAGCTGTGTAGAGGGAAGCACATTGCCTCTTCTGGCAGCACCTCCATTCCTCTTATCTGGAGAGTAGTGAATAGTAATGCTTACTGCAGGGGGTAGCTGGGGCACAGGAAGTGCTGCGTGAATGCCGTGGATTCTGAGAGTGGAGGGGCTTCCAGGTAGAGGGAGCCAAGTGAACTGTGCAGGATGATGCTCCAGCATGACACGTGGAGCACGGAGAATCCGACGGCCGGAGGGCAGGGCGGGTGGGCGGATGTGCGGAGTGCGTGGGCCTCTGGTTTGATGGACACCAAGAGATCACTGAAACCTGCCAGGTGGGCTGGCAAGAACCCTGCCGACTATGCACAGCCCCTGAGGCCACAACCCCTCCCTTTCCTCACAGCCTTGGGGATAAGGCTTCATCATACCCATTTTACAGATAAGGAGGCTGAGGCCCAGAGAGAGGCTTTAAAAAGTGACTTTTGGACTGGACCTGGTGGCTCATGCCTGTAATCCCAGCACTTTGGGAGGCCGAAGTGGGTGGATCACCTGAGGTCAAGAGATTGAGACCATCCTGGCCAACGTGGTGAAACCCCATCTCTACTAAAAATACAAAAATTAGCCAGACATGGTGGCATATGCCTGTAATCCCAGCTACTTGGGAGGCTGAGGCAGGAGAATTGCTTGAACCCGGGAGGCGGAGGGAGGTGGCAGTGAGCCGAGATCGCACCATTGCACTCCAGTCTGGGTGAAAGAACAAGACTCTGTCTCAGAAAAAAAAAGGAAAAGGGATATTTGGAGCCTGACCTGGGTTTGAATCCAGCTGTGTGACCTTGAGCACGTCACTCAGGGCTGCTCAGGGCCTCAACTTCCCCACGGGTGACGTGAGCTCCAAGCCAGTAGGCCCTTGTGTGGGTCCCCGTGGCTCTCCCAGGTGCTCAATAAATTGCTGTTCTGTGCATGAGAGTGGGGCTAGTGATGTGCCCTGCCCTCCAGGCTGTGGCGAGAGGCAGAGGAGGGGGGATAACTCGGGCACAGTGCCAGGCTTGCAGGGATGCCCAGCCCATGGGCATAACATGTCCTTCTGATGCTGGAGCTGAGCAGAGCCGCAGCTGCCGGGACACAGGCCAGAGCTAGGTTCTGCAGGGCTTGGAACGCTGGTGTGGGGCTGGGGGTGGCGCAGGGGAAAAGCCCCTGGGGGCCCCTTTGTGGTGAGCAGCCTGTGGGTGGCGCCTGGCACAGAGAGGAGGGTGGCACCGCCCGCTCCCTGGGGCCCCACCACCCAAGTGCAGTTCCCTCCTTCCAGGTGCCAGCTGTGGCAGGCAGGGCTGCCCATCCACCCCGGTGGGGAGGGTGTCGGCACGAGTACTCACTCATGCTAGGGCCCATCTGCCTGCCTGGCCCCTCAGCGCTGAGCTGGCGGGCTCGGAGGCAGCTGTGGGTGCCCCTGCCTCCCGGCCGAGCCCCCGGGGAGTTGTGGTGGAGCTGAGCGTGGATCAGGTGTCCCTCACCGCTCCTGCTAATCCTCGCTGCCTCACCGCGCCAGGAGAGGGGCAGACGTGGAAATTGTCCTGCTGCTCGACAGAGGGCTGGGAGCTTGAACTTTATTTGGGACCGTGAGACATGGGGTGAGGGACATGTGGGCCGCCCTGGGCATCTCTGTGGGATCCCTGAGCTCGCCTGGGAATCAGGCTGTGTGGCCATGCGGCTGTGTGTGCTGTCCTGTTCCTCGATCCTGGAAGTGCTGCATCCCGTCACAGTCTCTTCTGCTGGGGAACTCACCTAACACACCCCCCTTGCTTTCCCAAGTGTTTCAGAAGCAAACTTTTTGGCAGAGCTGTCCACACCCACCATCCTCATTTCACACCCTTGATCGGGGGCCCCCACTGCTCTCGGTCTGGACCTCTCGTGGCCTTCCTGGTATCAACTGTCCCCCCTTCTTCCCTGGCTTCTGGGCCCTGGCTTGTAGCCTGGACTTCTCTGCCCAGTCCCAGCTGGGAAGTGCCGGCTCTTCCAGGTGCCCCTTGGCCCCCTTGCCCTGCTCTGCCCTGTCAACTGCAGGCTCACTCCTGCCCACGGCTTCCGTTCCCTGCGACCCATGCGAACATCTGGCCCCACACACTCAGCACCCTGTTACTTAAATCTCCTGTCCCCAGCTTCCCCCAGGCCATTTGTCTCAGCAGAAAGCTGGTATCATTTCCCCCCACACCTCAGGGCTCTGCCCCATGGCCACAGCACGGTCTGCTTTTCTGGCCCTCCTCTGGCAGCTGTCACTGCCTCCTGCCCACACCAGCCCTAGTTGTTGAGTTAAACAGAAGCCCTTCCTTCAAAACCTGCAGTAGCTCCCTATGGCCTCAGGATAAAGTGAACTTCTTAGCCTGGAATCTGAGTAGCTGCCTCTCATATTCACCCTGGTTCCCCACATCCCTTCTGAAAACCAGAGCTTCAGGCATATCTGGCTCCTCTCTCCTCCCCAAGCACGCCAGGCCCTGTTCCCCTTCCAGGGCTCAGCTGCGGGGAGTCATGAGCAGGAAGAGAGGCCGACCAGGGAGACTAGCCATGTCCGAGGCCAGCTGGGTGCCCTGGCATGGGCTGGGAGCTGGGCCATCGGTTGGCAGGCTGCTGGGACACTTGTGGGAACAGCCACTCAAGCAGTGCCAATTAATGATTGGCCCTGAGAAGGGGCTTGGCCTGTGTGGGTGGGACAGCCCCTTTCAGGCCTTGACCTCAGGCTGTGCCTAAATCTTGAGGGCTAAAAGGGTACCCCTTAAAAGGGCAAATCAACCCGCTGTGCAAAGTTCCAATCCCTTTTCCATCACCCGGTGTGGGTGCTTGTATGCCTCTGGGGATGGAGCGCTCCCTTCTCCCCATTAGACAGGTGTTTCTTCTAATGACCCTGTGCCGGCTTTGCCCTGGGCCCCTGGGTTCCAGTTGCTCTGCTCCCCTCAGAGGGTCAAGGCTCACACTAGGCCCCCCTCCACTGCTGTGGTCCCCCTCATGCCTGGAGGCCTCCTGAGCCCATCCCAGGCCTATTCCTCATGCGTCGAGAGAGGCTTGTCTCTTGTCTCTTCTGTTGACTAGAAATGAGCTTAGAGGTGACTGTCCCCAGCTGAGCAGTCTTCTGCCACGGTTGGGGGAGGAGAATAAAGGGGCGGCGTGAGCATCAGGAGAACCTCGTATCCCAGGAAAGTCTGTTGGAAACCTGGGGCCCCCCAGTAAGGCAGGGAGTTTCAGACCCGCACTATCATCAAATCAGGGTTGTCAGCAAGGGCTTCCCGGAGGAGGTGACCCAGGCCAGCCTGGAGGTGAGCGCAGGGAAGGGGGCGCCAGGTGGATGGAACAGCATCTGCTGAGGCTCCAGGACCAGAAAGCCGAAAGCACTTTTGCAGGAATGACAGGAGCTTCCAGGGCCAACAGGAGAGGCTGGAGGGTGAGGGCAGGGCTGGAGCACCAGTGAAGCTCTGGAGGGCCCAGAAGGCATAGGAGATTCTGAGCAGGGGAGGGCCTTCCCTCTGCGGGCCGCTTCCTTCCAACTACGGCGCCGCCCCCACACCCCCGGAGCCCGGAGTCCCCCAGGACCACAGGCCTGGGCCTGGGGCAGCAGCTGAGTGCTCTCGGGCCCCTAGCCCCACCCTTGAGCTGCCAGGGAATGCGGAGTCCTGCCCATCATGTGCTGGCTTCAGACATGACCAGGCATAGGGACTGCCCCTAATCCACGCTCACATGAGCGGCCGGGGACACCAGCACAGCTGTCGCCTGCTCCTGTTTGCTTTGGGGGCGAGCTCTGCATGGGGAGTGTCTTCCTGGGCTGCACATAGCGGGGGCTCAGCAAGGGCTGTCGGCTGCTGGACAGTCTGAGGGGCCAAGAGACCCATCTCGGGGTATCTGAGAGGCCGGGGTCGTGGGGTGAGAGGGTGACTTCCAGGCCAGGTGCATCTACTGCCCTGCAGGGCTTTGCAGGCCAGGCCCAGTGACCCCCAGCAGGGACGAGGTCTCGAGGGCTGGACTCTTCACCTGTTCACTCTGATGGCCCCAGGCTACCTCTGGCAGGGAAGCGTTCATAATATGGTATGGGCCAACTGAAATGTGCTGTAAGTGTAAGATACACATGGATTTTGAAGACTCAAACCCCAAAAGCAAATACAGTATCTCTTGAATAACTCTTCTACTGATTACATATTGAGATGGTAAGATTTTGGATATATTGGCTAAATAAAATATACGATCAAAATTAAGTTCACCAGCCAGTCACAGTGGCTCACACCTGTAATTCCAGCACTTTGGGAGGCTGAGGTGGGTGGTTCACTTGAGGTCAGGAGTTTGAGACCAGCCTGAGCAACATGGTGAAACCCCATCTCTACTAAAAACACAAAATTAGCTGAGTGTGGTGGCACATGCCTGTAATCCCAGGTACTCGGGAGGCTGAGGCAGGAGAATCACTTGAACCTCGGAGGAGATTTCAGTGAGCCAAGATCATGCCACTGCACTCCAGCCTGGGCAACAAGAGTGAAACTCCATCTCAAAAAAAAAAAAAAATAAGTTCACCAAAATTATTTTCACTTTTCTTAATGTGGCTACTAGAAAATTTCAGCTGACACCTACAGCTTGCCTGAGACTTCCATTGAGTGGTGCTGCACCCATAGGGGACAGGAGGGAGTGGCCCCAAGTCATCTTGTCAGAGACAGACGGGA